AGTCTTGTTGTGCTTCGGGTGTTGACTCCGCTGGTGCCGAATTTGGGCAATTCGTTCCGTGCACGATTTGCTTCTGACTGCTCACCTGCTTCTTGAGGTTTCCCTCCCTTTGTGGATGCCGCAGCGCCGGTCTTCTCCAAGGCATCACTCTCGTCGGTGATGGAGGGTGGGGAATTACCACCAGCAACAGGAGCGCTCAAAGATGCATCACCACCTGGACTGCCAGCATCAGGTTGACTGCGACCACCAGAAGAAAAGGAGCCCAAAATGAGACCTTTGCTTCCGTCAGAACCTACACTTCCTGTAGGAGCCCCAGGAGAACTGCCACCATCACCGAGAACAGGAGATGGGGACTTGACATCCGAGGCAGGGGACTTCAAAGAGCCACCAACACGTGCTTTAGAACCTCCATTTGAGCCACCACCACCGCCACCAGGACCGCCAGCATCGTCGTCTCTACCGCCTCCACCTTCACCTCCGCGACCAGGAGGAGAACCGGCACCACCGAAATCAGCACCTGAAGTTGGAGCTAAATCTGATTTATTTTCTGCTGTACCAGTCACCAATGGGTCAGTCGAAGCTTCAACGGCAGTGATGGACACGACAGATCGTAAAGGCAGCGTCAGCGCAGTTTTGTCACATCCGCTCGGCATATGGAACCCATTAGCATCCAACACTCCCGACGCCATGCAACCACCAACTGCGTTGTTCTCGAGATCACTCGCATCAACCCCGCCGGCACCGCACCACAGCACGCAGAGGGCACACACCAGCAGCACACGGCCAGTCATCATCATCGCCATCACTCCTGTCACTTGCCTGCAGCCTTCAGCACAAACCAACTCCCCGTCAACGCAGAGCGGAAGCAAAAGGAGAGACACGGCCGCTACAACACGCACAGCCACCGCACAGTCACAAATGGCAGCAGCCCAGCAGCGGCAGCGCACACACACCATGAGGCAGTTGAAAGCAGTGAAAGGGCAAAAACACACAACGCCCAGCAGCAAGCAAACAGAAAACACACAAAACAATTAGAAACAAAACACAGCTAAACAAACAGCAATGAAGTAAGAAATGTGAAAACACACAAAACAAAGGGCTGCACAGTATGGCTCCAGCGCGCACACACCCATCCTCAAATGCGATTCCACGCAAACAGTTGTGTGCGTGCCATGCATATGAGTGTGTCTGGGGTGCGTTCAACGTGACGGATGCGGGGAGCGGCAAGGAGCACACAGCAGGGCAGCGGAAGCAAGTGAAGCAATACACAATCATTAGTTTATCCTGTTTAGTACATCGGACCACAGCAGACGCACACAAGTCCCCGCGGTTGAGTGCTGGCACGCACAGCCCGCACACAATTCTTCAGCCCAGAGTGGTGTACGCCAGCGCGGATACGGCGAGCAGCAGCGGGGCACACACCC